CGCAACCAAAAATTGACTGCTGCAATCAATTAAAAATGCTATGCCATATTCAGCCAATCTTTTCTTTCAGTGTATTTAAAATTTCATTCACCCAGAGAAAGGTTTCTTCGATTTAAAGAAATGTTTCTTTACTATACGGTTAAAGAAAAAATTTCTTTGATTTAAACATAATTTCTTCAAATCGAATAAATTTTTTTATTTGATTTCAAAAAATGTTTAAATAAAAAAAATGACGTTCGAATCAAAGAAATTTTTTCTTTAACCGTATAGCAAAGATACATTTCTTTAAATCGAAGAAACTTTTCTCTGGATGTTCCTGTCTACTCTGTTGAACTAAGTTTTCCAATTACGTTTGATTTCATTATAATTACATGGTATATATTATATACATTACGATTCGTTTATCGTTTTTTAACTTTTAAAATTTTAAGAAAATATTTGTTTAAAAATACTCTAGTATTCTCATTATATTTTTATTTATAGATTCCTATTTTTTTATTTTATCCAAACTGAAATGAACTTTTCCAGGTAATTTATTTTTTCGAACTTTCCCAACTGAAGTAACTCTACTCTAAAAATTCGTAGCGGTGTTTTGCAGGATATCAATTCTGCCGTGCCAAGTTTTGATGTTTCTTTTTCTCTCAATTTTTCTCTCTCTTTTTCTTCCTCTTCTCAATTCGGATCTCATAAACGTTATAGCGGTTTATATCTCGAAATACCTTTCCCGCTTATAGACAAAACTTGATATTTCCCCGATTGAGCAAGACTGGCGGCAGCTGTCATGCACCAGATACGATGACACGTGAGAGAGAGCGCACGTTACTACCACCCTCTCCTTCTTTTCATTATTTCTCTTCGACAAGTTCTTGCTCCTCTTTCGATCTCTCGTTTTCTATCATTTCGCGCCGGTTTAAGGCGTCACTTATCTCGATTACTCGAGCGAGCACCTTTTCTTTGCCATAAAGACATTCCGACTTGCAAGCAGTGTAACAATTTTGGTTCAAAGTGATCTTAGTTCCACAAATAATTCATCGTTGGAAAATTTGTGTTAAATTTAACATATTTCAAGCGTTCCAACCGGTGGTCCACTCAAATTTATATATATTTAATTTAACATAAAATTAATATGTTAGAAGGTAACTGGTACACTCATGATAAAAAAAAAAATATTATTTAAAAATAAACACAAAAAAGATAATGCTGACACAGTTTGTAAATAAACTATGAAAGTATTTTTTCCAGTAAAATTAACATTTACGTACATTAAATTATAATACATATTTTATTTATTTATCTTACAAATTACGTTTTAAAACACATTTTTATGTTGTTTGTTTACTCACTCATAAATTGTGTTATTTTGACGCTAAAAAATGTTGAATATTAATTTAACGCAAAATATTTAAATAACATAATTAAATTAACACTCGAACATGCTAAAAAATTCAACACAAAAGTTTAACTAGAACTCGTATAGACCGTTTCCAACACAAATACGAAATGTTTTTTATTCGGCAACATTCTCTCGGCATGTTATTACTATTTATTTCCTTTTCCTCGTTTAAGTAATCGATATTAAATTTCTTCAGCAATAAGATTTTGCTACACTGATATCTACGTATTTTCTAGCACGTTTCGTAGAGATTGTGTGAAAAATCAGTTTGATACGCTACGCTGAGTCATACTACCCCGTTATCGTTTTATCGAACATGAATCCACTTGTTCCTCGCGTATCGAGTCAATCATTTCCCCGCGAAACGACAGCGAGTATTTCGATTATCCGTCCGATAATCGAAATCTCATTACATTGCGCTGCATCGCTTCCCGATTCGAGCGTTATCGTCAGTGCCTGTCATTTGAATAATGAATATCAGAGTTACGTCTGATGAAGCAGCGAAGATTAGCGTCTCGACGTGACACATCGGCCGTGAATCGAGTAGCTCACGCCTCGCGATGAATTTTTTGACAAAAAACGAGAAGATACCGTTTAACTAACTCCACCGTGTGCAAGTGCACACTCGCCGGTTCCCGTGGCTAACTGTAATCGTGGTTCATGTACCAGCTTCATGTATACCTTTTCTTACCGAGGCATACCTAACTGTCCCAGACGAATAAATCTTCTCTACCCCACTGCCTCCTTCCCTCTCGTTACTATTTCGCGCGATTATCTCAATCGATGGTTCATGTTCGTTCGACACCAAAAACCGCGAGATTCTCATCCGTTACTTCGCGTCCCGGAAAAACACCGAGAGAAAGGTTTGATATGAATTATCATTTATTTTGTTGATATGTGACTTACAAAAATTTTCTTATTTTTTAATTAAAAAATTTTATTTATTCCATCAAAATTTAATTATTCTTACCAAATGATTAGCACATCAAAATTAATTAATTACAAAGTAAGAAAGTTTTTCCAAGTCACATATCAACAACATAAATTGCACACATTGCAATTAAAAAATTTTATATGCCGAAATTTCTCTCAGTGTGTTCCATTCTGTGAGTTTCTTTTTTGTACTGTATAAGAAAGACTCCATTAATGGTTTGCATAAATGCGGTATAAAGAGAATGTCATATAAAAGTGATCCGTTATAGATAAAATATTCTCGAGAAGTTTCTCTTTTCCAATTCCTGTGTCTGGTTTGCCATGTCTCTTTCATTGCCTTCATTATGTGTATATACTGCTTAACCTACATTCAGATTTAAATATGTTAATCTCATTAACGTAACGTCATCACGGTTTACCTCGGTTTACTGATTTACTCGCGAACACCAATCGCTGTCGAACACCTATCG